AACAGTTCTCAAGCTTAGCTCAGTTTTCTATAGAAGTGTCTGTTGGCTTTTTGCTTGCTTTTTAAAAACAGACATTTTTAGAGCAGTTTCAGGTTCAAAGCAAAATTGCACAGAAGGTACACAGACTTCCCACATGCCTCCTGTCCCTATACAGGCAAAATTTCCCTTATTGTCAACATCCTGCATCAGAGTGCTTCATATGTTACAATTGAGAAACCTACGCTGACACAACATTATCACCTAGAGTTCATAGTTAACATTAGGGTTCATTCTTGACTGGACAAATGTATAATGGCATGAATCCACCATTAGCATCACACGGAGTAATTTTACTGCCTTATAAATGGCCAGTTCTTCACCTATTCATCCCTCCCTCCCATCTAACTCCTAGCAACCTCCGATCTTTTCACTATCCCCATAGTGTAGCCTTCTTCAGAATGCTGTAATGTATAATTGGAATCATATCATATGTGGCCTTTTCACATTGGCTTCTCTCACTTAGTAATATGCATTTAGGTTTTCTACATGTCTTTTCATAGCTTGCTAGTTCATTTCTTCTTAGCACTGACTACAATTTCATTTTCTGAATGCACCACAGTTTATTCATCCATTCCTCTATTGAAAGGCATTGTGATTCCTTCCAAGTTTCAACAATTACAAATGAAGCTGATAAAAACATCTGTGCATAGGGTTTCGTGTGTATAAAAGTTTTTCATTTCTTTGGTAAATCCAAGGAGGAAAATGCTAGATCCTATGGTAAGAGTGTGTTTAGTTTTGTAAGGAACTGTCAAACTCTATTCCAAAGTGACTATACCATTATGTGTTCCAATCAGCAATAAAGAAATATGTTCCTGTTACTTCAGCGTTTTATGTTATTAGTGTTCTGGAATTTACCCATTCTAATAGTGTAGTAATATTTCATTGCTGCTTTAATTTGCATTGATCTGATGGCAAGTGGCATGGAGCATTGTTTCACATGATTGTTTGCCATCTGTATATCTTCTTTAGTGAGGCATCTGTGAAGGTCTTTGGCACATTTTTAATTAGGTTGTTTGTGGTCTTATTGTTGAGTTAATTCTTTGTATATTTTAGATGATAGTCTTTTATTTTATATGTCTTTTGCAAATATTTTCTCCCAGCCTGCGGATTGCCTTTTCATTCTTTTGACAGTGTGTTTCTCAAAGCAGTGATTTTTAAATTTTAATAAATTTTTATTATCGATTTTTTTTATAAATTGTGCCTTTGATGTCACAACTGAAAAATCATTGCCAAGCCAAAGGTCATCTAGATTTTCTCCTATGTTGTCTCCTAGGAATTTTACAGTTTTTTGTTTTACATTTAGATCTGTGATCCATTTTGAGTTAATTTTTGTGAAAGATGCAAAATGATGTTCCAGCATCATTCATTGAAAAGACTATATTCTCACCATTGCATTACCTGTGCTTCTTTGTCAAAGATCAGCTGACTATCTTTGCATGTTTTGCTGGCCTTTTTATACTGTTATCTGGAATCTACCCCCCATGGATTCTGACTGAATTTATCTGGGATGGGTCCCAGCAACATTATTTGCTTGTAGCGTTTCTGAGGAGACACTAACATTTCTAGTAAGCTATCAAGGCTGAGAACCTCTTGAGTCTAATGGAAAACTAGCTCTCCCTAAAGGATACAACTTTCTCTTTCAAAGAGGGCGATTTCCTCTCTGACTGGCCCTCATACCCCTGAGTCTAGAGATGAGTTTGAGTTCTCTCTGCTCTTTATTGCCACTTACTGTCCACTCATTCCAACAGTAAGATTGCTCAGTTTTGAGTCTCTTGTTGGCAGGCTTCAGCATTCATTAAATTTCTTCATGGAATCATCTGCAGACCTTCAGATCTCACTCTTTTTTTTCCCCAGTAGTTTGTATCCTGGCTCCTCATTGCTGTCTCCAGCACTACTACTGTAGATGATCTTCCAACACTGGTACTTCTCAGTTCCTTCAGCTAATTACGGGTGGCCTAATCCTAAACTACCTGATCACATGGTCACACTCCAGATAAGAGTATATATACACAAATTGCTTTTCTTATGAAAGCTTTTCTTTTAAGAGAATTAGCATCCTCCTTAGACACACTGCTTCTTTTCTTTTTTTTCCAAAAAGCAAAAGTGATCAATTCATTACACAAAAAAAGCTGGGAAATTGCATCAACCCTGTAGATGGTGGTATAGAAGAAACCATATTTCACGACAGCACTATAAGTCAAATTCCACTGCTATTACCTTAAGGTGCTGTATTTTTTATATATTCCATTATTCTCAACATAAAATCTTTTGCCACAGCTATATTTTTGTTGTTACGAAATAGTTAGATTATGATACAATTCATTATAAAGAGATTTGACCTATTGTATCATATGCCACAAGGAAGGGTTTCTATTAGGCAATTAGTCAGTTTTCCAATTAAAATAAATGTGTTTCAATCATCCTGTTCCATACAGGGAAAAAAATGACTTTAATAATTGCACTTTGCATTTCTATAGCCACTTTCATCTAAGAAGCTCAAAGAACTAATTTAATTAAACCTTCAAATACTCCCATGAAGTAGGTGTTATTATTTCCATTTGACAAAGACATAAATGAAGTCACAGAAAGATTAACTAACCTGCCCGTGGTTACACTGTGAATTAGTAGGGAGGTCAGAATAAATGCTCCAATCTCAGAAAGATTGTTCTCTATAGTATAGATTGACAATCTCTCAGTATCATTGGCTTAACTTCTGCTTGTGGTTGAGCAGGGAGGATTTTAATTCTTCATTAGTTGGGAAAAACTAAACAAGAGAATTTATAAAAATGTTTTAGATTTTCATTCTTGTATCCCACTTTCTGGAATGGCATTCATTTGCAGCAAATTCTGGTAATATTTTCTTCCCTTTTTTAGTCAAATATCTTCCATCAACATATTCTCTCTTTTTTGTATAATTAGGTAGCCTAATCCCAAAAAGCAAAGTTGTTTGCTTTTAATTAAGGAGTGAATTGTGCTTCAAAGTTTCATGGGAAATTTCAAAATCTCTTCCTAATCTTTTCTTAACGAAATGGATCTCATGGCTGCTCTGTTTGCATTAGTCACAGTACATGTTGTACATGAATTTAAGGAATGTATTGAGCAAATAAAGTTAAAATATACCAGGAAGTATTCATTATCCAGGGGATGAATATGCAGACATTTTCAAGGGCAAAAGTTTATCATTATATTAAATTACTACGTAGAATTATCTTACTTTTGTCATAATTCAGTTTCTTACCATTGCTTTCTTACCTTTCAATCAAGGAGACTAGCATCCCTTTCAAAGAATAATATTTGTAGAAAAGTCCATCTAGTCTCAGCTAATCACATAATATTTTAGAGATGTTGAGACCAATGAGATCAAATGAATAAAATAAAGACATGCTACTTTTTAATGTCAAGTAATGTCTTTGTTTGGGCTGCAACAGAATACAGTTGTAGATTATTTTCTCACAGTTGAGGAGGCTAGAAGTCTAAGGTCAAAGTGCCAGCAAGGTTGCTTTGCAGAGAGGCCTCTCTTCCTGTCTTGCAGATAGCTGCCTTCATGCTGTGTTCTCACAGGACCTTCCCCCTACATTTGTGGAGAGAGAGGGATTTTTTTTTTTTTTTTTGTCTATTTCTTAAAAGGATGACAATCCCCTTGGGTTAGAATCTCACTCTATTTAACCTTAATTACCTCTCTAAAATCCCTATGTCCAAACACAGTCACAATAAGGAGGAAGACTTCAACATACACATTTTGGGAAGACACAATTTGGTCTATAATAACTAATTTCTGTCTTGGCCAATAAAGCTGATGAACACGTCCATTGCTATGTCTAGCAACTCTCACACACAAGGATGAGCCTGATCAGGAAAGACATAGTTTGATACTCTAAAAGCAGCACGTATTTAACAATTTTTTAAAAGTCTTTATTACTTTAAAAGAAGGCAAATTCCGTGGTTCTCTGCTAAATGCTAATTCAGGTTCCACTTTTCAATCTGCTCTGCTACTCACCACCATTCATCAACATGACTGCCCCTCCAGGCCTGGGAAACTCTTCATTTGAGGCCTACTCCTTTTTGAGTATGTTCAAAATGCAGCTCCATTTCAACTTTCAAAAGGAAGTCATGTCATATGGCAGAAATCTTATTTATATTATAAATCATATTATAAATCAAAAGATCTGAAATTTAGTCATAGCTCTGACATTCAATGACACCATATAATCTCAAGAACACCATTTTACTTAATTTCCTTCCAGTTCAACTTTTATAATTACTTCCAGAAGAATATCTAGGATTAAACAACAATAAACACTTAAATATATGTATTGGAGAAGTAGTGATAAATTAAACTAGTGACTCATCAGCAAATAGTTATGGCCTTCAGATAGAGTAAACCATTAAGAACAATTTAGAAGGATAAATTGAGACGTGGTACTCAATATATCAGAACACTGATTTAGGCCAGAATAATATGCAAGGCAAACCCTTAAAAATTAAAATTATTTTTTCTGTATTTCTTCCAAAAAAAAAAAAAAACCCATGGGATACATGTGCAGAACATGCAGGTTTGTTACATAGGTATATGTGTGCCATGACAGTTTGCTGCACCTATGGACCTGTCCTGTAAGTTCCTTCTGCTTACCCTCACCCTCCTACAGGCCCTGATGTGTGATGTTCTGTGTCCATGTATTCTCAATATTCAACTCCCACTTATGAGTGAGAACATATGGTGTTTGGTTTTCTGTTCCTATGTTAATTTGTTGAGGATGATGGCTTCCAGCTTTATCCATGTCCCTGCAAAGGCCATGATCTCATTCCTTTTTATAGCTGCATAGCATTCCACATTATATATGTACAATCTTTATCTGTTCTATCATTGATGGGCATGTGGGTTGGTTCCATGTCTTTGCTATTGTAAATAGTGCTGCAATAAGCATACATATGCATGTGTCTTTATTGTAGAATGATTTATAATCCTTTGGGTATATATCCAATAATGGGATTGCTGGGTCAAATGGTATTTCTGCTTCTAGATCCTTGAGGAATTGCCACACTGTCTTTTACAATGGTTTTAACTGCTACTGCTTAACTCCACCAAAGCTAATAATATTTATTGTTTTGAATAGCCTAAATAATTTTTAATAATTTTGGTCATTCATGAGATGTTTCTTTCTAAAAATTGTTTTCTCTTTACACTGCATTTTCTACTCTCTTTTTTCTGTTCTCTTACAATTTTGTACATACCCTCATTGCAGCAGATTTCAAATTGCATTATATATTAGCTATTTTTAAGTTGTCTTCCTCTTATATTGTAAACTTCTTAAAAAGTAAGATCAATTATTCATTTAAATGTTTCTCCATCGGTTAATATAATGCCTAGGACACGGTGTGACTGAATGTGCTTAAACATGTAAAAGGTTCTTTCAAAATTACAAAAAATAATCTTATTTCTCTAAACATCTAAAGTATCCCATCTTATTCACAGAACTACATACAGAAATAAAGAGTGGGCAATAAAGTATTCAAATGACCACTACTTTTAAAATAATATTTCGTTCTTTAGAACGCCATATATTCAGTTTAGTCATTCTTTAAATTAGGGGTCACGATTAGTCATTTGTAAAGGATTTGAATTTATAAACTGGTATATGAGTATAAATCATGACACTCTATAGACAGATAGTACTTGTTGATGGTCTGGAATTCCAAGAATTTGGAAAACTGATTATCAATGATTTGTGGAAGTGTTAGTTTCAGAATTTGTCAGATATATAAGGATTTTTTTATTTTTCTAACTGTCAAAAGAATACCAGAATGCAAGATGAAAGAATAGCTAGAGATGGGGCAACCTAAATGTAATGAAAGCCAATATTCTGTCACTCTCCACCCCCCAAAAAATCCCATAATTCCATCTATTTTCAATGATACAACATCCAGGGTGACACCAGAATGTACCACTGACAGTCTTCATATGTTACAATAATCTGATTATGTTTCTCATAAAGTAGTCAGATCAGTGGAATGATCCTAGATTATAACTGATAATAATTCTTTTAAAGTGTGTGTGTATATATACATATTGTAAATATATATATTCTTTTAAAATGTATGTGTGTATATATATATAAATATATATATTATATATATTATATATAAATATATATATTTATATATATATATATAGTCTCCAGATTTTTACCACAGATATAAATAAAAGTATTTATCTGTGAGAAGTCCTTTTTAAAAGCATATACGTATTTTAAAATATATATTCTTTAAATTTAAAATATATATACACACACATTTTAAAAGAATATATATATTCTTTTATATTTAAAAAATATATATTCTTTAATTCTTTTATATTTATATTTAAAAAATATATATTCTTTAAATTTAAAATATATATACACACACATTTTAAAAGAATATATATATTTAAAAATATGTATATGCTTTTAAAAAGGACTTCTCACAGATAAATAATTTTATTTATATCTGTGGTAAGTAGTCTCCAGTCACATTCTATGCCCAAGAAAATGGACTTCATGAAGGTCCCAGTGATATCCTAAACCCATGGTTCATGAGTGTGGCTTCCAGTCTAACAGCATCAGCATCACATAGGAACTTGTTATAAAGGCCAGTTCTTGTGCCCTCACATCAGAGGGACTGAATAAGAAACTCTAGGGTATGACCTGATAATCTGTGTTCTTTGAGATGATTCAATTTTGTCTAAACACATAGAGTTAGTTAATGGCAAAGTCTTGGTTTCAATGATTTGAGTCTAATCTGCTTCACATCCATTTATTTTGGCCTGCATGGAATAAATGTTTTATTGATTATATTAATAATAGCTTTGGAAATAAATGATAAAACATCAAACTCTTTTCTGTCAACATCTACTTTGTAACTAAAATCTGTCTTGGATGCCCGCATGCTCACGGCAATGCATATAAACAGATCTGGTTTATGATGGAAGATTCTCATCTCTCTTTATTCTCTAAATTATTCATATAAATCATTCTCACGTGTTTATTTTCATGTTGTCCTCTAAACTCTTTCCGGCTCCCTTATTCCATTTTCTGTTCCTTCCATTTTATCTCTTTCTCTCTGGCCTCTTTATATTAATTGTGATCACTGCTTACACCTGTGCTAGCCCAGCTTATCTTATTGAATGAATTTTAATGCCAAGTTGTTTAGATCGAATTTGAAACTGCAAGGGAGATTTATAGTTCAGGGAGCATCATCTGGAAAAGGCCCTAATTTATTTTCACAGTTAGGTAAAATTTAGATCTCTTGTGTCTGTAAAACCGCCTGGAAGGAACAGCAATTATATTTCACAGGCCAGTCTGCATGAATGATTTAAAGCAGACTCTAGACATCAGATGCTCTTTTCCTTACTTTCCCCCTCAAGAAACATTTGAATATATTGTTCTCTAAAAGAAAGGAAAGGAAATTAAATTAGACCCTCACAAATATAAATAAAATCAGAATGTCCTACATCAATACGCTGTGTCCACAGCTAAGAAAATTTGACAAAGTTATTTTTTCCATTTCTTTAGATAAGATAGACATTTGGTTGGTCTATAATATAAAGTAAATGGCATGTTCCTTTGGGGGTTTTAGTGATTCCCAGAAACTATCACTGTGGCTATTTTTTATTCTTTCCAAAGATGGCCCAGAGAACAGAAACATAAGTGAAGAGTTGCTGAGTGCTCACTACTCTAACCAGCCCAGCTAAATCAGCCAGCTGCCCTGGTACAGTATTGCATCCTGTAGTTCTGTCTGTTTCAGTCTTGGCTTTTATGCCATGTACAGTCATGTAAGCCAGAAGAAGGGTTTAGGATGCAAGAAAACCTACAAAGTTCAAGTGCTGGCTCTGCCCGTCACTAGCCAACGAACACTGCATAAGTCACTTAAATGCTCTGAAGTTTTGTTTTCTCAGTTGAATAACGGAAATCCAATACTATCATTCCCCACACAAAAAAATGTTTGAGGATAAAGTGAGAATTCATGGATCTCAGGTAGAGGCAATTTTGACCCTCATCACATTTAACAATGTTTGGAGACATTTTTGGTTACCATAACTGGGGGTGGGGGAAATGAGGAATGTGGATCCAGTTAGTAGAGACAAGGGTTACTGTTACACATCCTACATGCACAGAGCAGTCCTCCAAAACAAAGAACCAACCAGCCCAGAATAGTCAATAGTGTTGAGCCTGAGAAACCCTGAGGAGGTATATGTGAAATTGCTTCGTAAAGTGAAAGAACAGTTATTGAAAAAATATTCACTGTGTGTCAAGCACTGTCTTTGGAACCAAGTGTTGTATTCATTTTAAACTCAAATGCTCAGTGATGAAACACAAGATCTCTATAAGCTTCAGGCACTTTTGTGGAAAATAACTCCTAATCAATTTCTTTGACCATCTAATGCTTTGCCAAGTATCTTCACTGCAGCATCAAGGGCTTTATTTGCTTACTTAACTAATTCAGTCAAAACAAATTGCAAAGGTCTCTTGAAAACTACCAGTTTTTATTATCTGTCGTAATTAACCCTATGTCAGATATTGCAATAGTCATCATAGAGCTAATAATCTGGTTTTTTATCTTCAACAATACTTATAATAATGATATGAACAATGTACATATAGTTAATAAATATTCCAGACTCAAATATGTGATGATATTGTTAGTTTTTCTGGATCAGCAAAAAATAAGAGGACATAATAAAACATCAATGTTTAACCATGATAATAATAATAATAACTTACACTCTGTGTTCACTTAATCCTCATAACAAACATTTGAGGTGGCTACCTCCACTTTACATAGAAGGAAACTGAGGCACAAAGAGTATAGGTACATTTCCCAAAGTCATAGAGCTAATTAGTGACAGAACTGGGATTTGATCATCAAGATAGTCTGGCTCCAGAGCCCATGTGCTTCATCTATCACACCAGCTATCACTGAATTCTGAAAGGAGCAAAATCCATTTTATCTAGCGAAGCGACAGCTATGGAAGGCATACAGCATTGGTAAAATTATTAGATCAGGTCAATTCAGGACAATATTGAAATGAAATCATGAAACCTGACTGAGAGTTGCCCACCTGAAAAGGTGCTGACATATTTGGGCCAAGTCATCGTGCCCCTGGTGAAATTGAAGCACTTCAAAGCACTGGGCCTTTTGGTTTTGATCAAACTGGTTAAAACGCCAAGTACATGACCTTGTTGTTGCCAAACATATGCTCACTGCAGGTGACGTTTCAGTAGGTTTCTGAAGGAGAAATTGCTGCTTTCGCTTTGCTCCTATAAATTGTGCAAAATGGCCTATTACCTCTGGTCTCTGCAACAGGAAACTTCAAAGGCAGTCTCAAAGGAGAGGAAGAACCACTCATCTGAATGGCAAGCTGCCAATGAACAGACAGTCTAAATCAACACACACCCGTGCAGGACTGGGGAAGGACAGGGTTTTGTAGCCTCAAGAGCAGTCAGCAATTGCTTTATCTGCATTCTCATTTTTCTTCTTTCTTCTGCCAAATGTGATTGGATATGATGCAAATCCTTGACTATGAAGCAGGTTCTTCTTATAGAAAAACACCCATACTTCTCTTCTTTGGCCGCTAATTCACAGAAGCTCAGCTTAATGTCCAGAACTTTAAAAATAACAAAACCCAAGAGAACAGTCTCCTGGTAAAGAAATCCTGGATTTTACTAAATCAGACATTTTGCCTGTTAAAATGATTTCAAGTCAGTTGTTTCATTCTGGCAATAAAATTCATTTAAAAATCAAGTATGTCTTTTAAAAGAGAAAATCTGCTGAGAGTACAGAAAAAAAACACAGATTTATTCATGCACAAGAGTCCCATTTTAACAGTGTTTATGATATGGCTTGCTGACCAATCCTTCAAAACAGAACTATGAACAAAAAGTGCTTGCTACACATCACATAATTAGCCCATAAAACAGATGTTCATTTCTTCACATGTGAGCATTTTTGAAAAATATCACTTTATTTCATTTAACTCTAATATATTCAATGAGTGTGCATTTTATAATATTTAAATTAAATTGTACCCAAAATGTTAGCAGAAATTTGAAACCATATATTGCAAGGACCTCTACAAATATTTTAAGCTTTGAAAGATTCCTCATACATGTAGAGATACAGCTTAATTTACCAAAGTCATACAGAGTTTAAATTAAAATTTCTCCAGCCCTCAAGTCATAATCACAGGTAAGAAATTAATAGGCCAAACGTGGTGGCTCACCCCTGTAATCCCAGCACTTCAGGAGGCTGAGTCAGGAAGATCACAAGGTCAGGAGTTCAAGACCAGCCTGGCCAACATAGTGAAACCCCATTTCTACTAGAAATACAAAAATTAGCTGGGCATGGTGGCATGCGCCTGTAGTCCCAGCTACTTGGGAGGCTGAGGCAGGAGAACCTGGGAGGTGGAGGTTGCAGTCAGCCAAGACTGCACCACTGCACTCCAGCCTGGGAGACAGAGTGAGACTCTGTCTCAAAAAAAAAAAAGAAAAGAAATTAATAGTAAATTGTGCATTATAATGACATTTAGCTTTTGAACACTGTTATGTAAACTAGCTTATACTTTTCTTCTCATAACAAGCATATGGGGTAGTTATGTAGGAATCATTTGTTCCAGTTAAAAACTGAAGGGTCACCCATGCAAGGAATCCAAGTAACTGCCTAATAATCTACAACACTGACTGTTGAAGTGAAACTCAAACTGTCATCTTTTTGAGCCTCAGTTTACGGTTGTATTTGATCATCCATT